AACTCTGTGCCACCACCTCCAAAGAGGAAATTTACTCGTTAATCTGATCCTTATGCTATGCACAGCAGTCTGTCAGAATGATTTTTTTTCTTTTAGAAATACTGAAAGTTTCAAAGATATCTTCGTACTAGAAATATTCTAAAATGTGATTAATACAACCCCGGGTGTGCAAAATGACCCCAGGGCGCACGAATAGGGTTACAGTGCATGCTGTAAATTCTCAGAAAAAAAACCCAACAACCAAAAACCTTCATCGACGCTTCGAAGAACGACGCCATGCTGTTCGTATACTTTTTTAGCTTATCAGATTCTACATAACATACAGTATGCTAAGGTCAAACAATATAATATGATACGGGCGTAAAATAAATACTTTAAAACACAAATAAAAAACCTATTTCCATTTGTGTGAAAGCCAACGGGCATAATATGTATAACGACGTAGTGAAGTCAGCCCCTCGTCAATTTTGGGGCATATGGATTTATTGGTATTAACTTCAAGCCTGTTCATTTGCCTTTCTTTTGGTAAAAAAAATCTATCTATGTTTAATGGAAGTCGAAATATTTGTGATTTTGGAGGTCAGGGTCGCCTGGTTTCAGAGCTAAAATTAGCGAGAAAATGGCATACAAAGTTTAGTAACTTCCATAGTCTGAGAATCATTGGAAATTGAAAATTTACATTTTTTGTGACATTAATCAATGTTTTTCAGTAAAATCCACACAAACGTGTTTTAAATGGACATAAATGGTATTGAGCCAACAAAAACACCCTAAAACCCCACAAAAAAGAAGAAGAAAATTAGACAAAAATTGTGCTTCGGCCAAAATTAATGCCAATTTCTTTGATTTTATTATTTCGACGAGCGCCTGATTTCACCACGATGCCTCACCCGTAAACGCCAGCGAAGCACGAAAGGAGTTTTGTTCCCAGTGGCCCAGTCTGCTCAGTCGTCGCACCGTGTCACTTTCGTTGGGTAATGTAATCGGGCCTATCAATAGTTGTATATTATGCCCTACGGTGCATCTTGTTTAACTGTATCACTTGCCTAAGCTCCCTTTTATTTTTATTTTCATTTATCTTTTTTTTCGTCGTGGATCTAGATCAAACGTGGCAGTTTCGTTGCAAAGCCCACAACGTTGCTCGAGGGGAAGGGACGAATTGAGTACTTATAAGGGTGTTCAGACGTAAAGCAGAAAACTAACAAGCAGCAATTAAAAAATTCCACGCCCCATCAAACATTAGACGGTCTATGCCCGTATATAGAATACACACTTCGATAACAAACTGAAAACAAACTGAACTGCAGTCTTTTCCCCTAACTTCAAACTCAATATAATACATTGCAAGGAGCAGCAAATCATGAGGCATCAAAATTAAAATGCCAAGCCCCATTAATAAAACATCTCTTGTATGGACATGGAAAACAGCCATTCTGTCAACGTACATCAATCACAGGTTACCGTCTAAACAAAACATGTTACATTTCCCAAATTGTTCTTCCTCAGCTATCAAAACAACACGCTTTGCCGACGCCTAAAGGCTTTTAACATGATGCTGTAGAAGACTGGGTTGTACGACCATCAACAGGGCTGGAGACCACGATTTTCTGTCTGGAGGTCAATCAAGAATTGTCAACAAAACGCGCATTAATTGTTTTATTTTTCGCTAAATGTGTTTCTTGTCAACTGGGGCCAATCTTTGGCTCATTAGTCACTTTCGAAATCTGATAAATGTGTTAATCGCTCGATGAAATATCAGGAAATGCCATTAATGACAGTGGACAATGTTTTGTTGTTTGTTTTGGTAGGTGTTTTACGGCGCTTGCAACCTCATAATGTCATATGAGCGGGCGGGACACATTAAACAGTTAGGTAGGAATTAATATTGACGACATACAAATCCTGTTCTGAAGATGTGTTCCTGGTAGCCAATGTAGCCCTGACTACTCCTTTTACCTGTAGTTCCTGGTAGCCAATGTAGCCCTGACTACTCCTTTTACCTGTAGTTCCTGGTGTCCTGTTCCAAATAACTTCTTCTTTGTTTTCTTTATTAGAGGTGAGTTTTTCTTGAAATATCCGTCCGGTATCACCGTGACGTCTGCACCAGTATCCACTCTATATTTAACTGGCTTTCCTATTGCAGTTATTTCTGCGTGTCACAAGTCATCGTTGCTTTGCACGGCACTGAGACCATATTCGTTTTCCAGCTGTAGTGTTCCCAGGAAAATTTCTTCAACTTGTCTTACCGACTTCTTGTCTTTGTTTCTACAAGCTGTGGAGAAGTGTCCTCTCTTTTTTCATGTGTAGCATTCCGCATCTTCGGTAGGACACCCTACTTTATCGTGTGGAGCTCTTCCACATCTGTGATATTTTTTTCCTATGTTTTCTTTTCTTTGGAATTTTTGCTTGGGGCCCTGACCTTGACCTTGACTTTGACCTTGTCTGTAAAACCTTCCTTTCTGTAACCTGTTTACTTCTGTAACTTCGTTTCCAGTACTTTGGCTGATAGTATGCGACTGTGTCCTAGATGACTTATATACTCGTCCTAAATCTATACACCTTGTTAGGGTGAGATTTTTGTCTTCCAAAAACATTTCTCTTAAGCTTTCTTCTCTCACTACTATCACTACCTGATCTCTTATTAAGCCGCCTTGCAACTCTCTAGTTTCTAGCTCTAGATCTAAAATCCTTCCCGTTTTCAAACAGGTAACTGCCTAAACCTAAACTCGTTCTTGTCTAGTCTAGACCTCTACTCTCACAGAGCACTGTTCGTGATAGATAAACTCTTGCACTTCGTTGAATTTGGGTGTTTTCTTGAAGTTGTTGGCTGTTCAGAAGCCACTTCTGACACCATATAAAGTTACCTGGTGGTCCGATGAGTCGGGTCGGGGGGGGGGGAGGCATCTAGGATAGATGTTGCCTTGTCCTTATCCTGTCTGCGACTGAATCTCTCAGTGAGTGTCTCTCTGATGACGTCGGCCTATTCCCGCGGCTCAATGTGACGTCATCCAAGGGTGTGCTACTCCCTTAATTATCTTGTCCCCATAGGGAAGATAAGAGTCACGTCATATATATATATAGATAGATAGATAGACAGATAGATAGATAGATAGATAGATTGATAGATAGATAGATAGATAGATAGATAGATAGATAGATAGATAGATAGATAGAGATTTCAAGAAAGAGATAGATAGAAAGGTATGTATACACACATACACCCACACAGAGAAAGAGAGAGAGAAAGAGGGAAGACAGAAGGAGAGAGAGAGAGAGCGAAAGAGAGAGAGAGAAA